CCTTCGCGTGGTCTCATTGGCTGAGCCGGCGCGCAACGAGCGAGATATCGCGCAAATAGCGACTACGGAACGACGCTTGCGAGCGCGAGAAAGGTTTTGAGTGAGACGGACGCGGAGAAAAGCAACCCGTACATAAGAGAGAAAGAGAAAGAGAGAACGTCTAACTGAAAGAGGGAGTCTCTTAAGGAGAGAAAGAGAAAGAGAATATGCTAGAGACCGGCATATAAGCATTCACGATGCAGCCGCAGTAAAAGACGCTTTTCATTGAGCCGTCTTATTGTGAAACCCAGCTCCGCGCCCTGAAGTTTCCTACGACGTTAGGCGTGATCGTTTATTTCTTCATTCGTTCCTCTAATCGAGAATGCTTGCCATTTTCATTTAGAAAATTTATACTTTCGATGTAGAAAGTTTTTCCTTTTATCTCTAACTTATCTTATACTTCTCCTATTTCTTGTAGAAGATTTAGAGAACTTTAGTAACTCCTTGCATGATTAACTTCATCCTGGATTTCAGCTAAGCTGTAGCCGTTATAATCCCTGCTTAAATATGTTCCACGTCAATTAATTCTCGTGTAATCAGGATTCTTTCGAAATACTCGTTAACGGTTTTGGTAGTTTGATCGGGATCAACTATGAAGACTTCCAAGTTTTCGAGTGCCACGAACAGGTTGTCGTGGATAGCACAAAGACGTAAACACTAGTACTTTAAGAGAGTACCGAATTATACACAAATGAATAGAAAAAAATAGAGAGAGAAAGTTTTATTGAAAGTTTCTCAAAGAACGTATCTTTTAAGACGAAGGTTGTCGAAGGTATTTGAAATGACGGAGATGTAGAGGTAGAGGGGTTGAAAGTAGGTATGGGTGAATGGATGGAGGTGGGGGAGAGGCGCAAAAGGAGGACCTCCTTTGCGAAGCTACGGGGCAAATGCAGGTTTCAGGTTGCTTCACGTGCACAATTACCGGGCATAGGATGGGCGCGGGTGGGAATGAAATTTCGTCTTGTGCAGCGGGAGCAAGCAAAGTGTGCGCCGCGCCCTCTCCATTCTGCACGGCCTGGGGAATTGAGTTTCGCCATGAGAGAGCGAGAGCACGCAAAGAAAGATAGAGAGAACGAGAGTGAGTGAAAGGAGACTGGGTAGCTGTGTCGAAGAAGGAACTGAAGCGGGAAGAGAAGATAGCGAACAAGGAGAATGAGGGAGAGAGAGAGAGAGAGAGAGAGAGAGAGAGAGAGAAGGAATGAACGAAGGAGAAACCATGAAGGAAGACAAGGACAGAGAGGCCTCTGCTTCGCTGGTGTAACACTGTTATTGCCAATAATGGGTACGACTATACGCATCCATGTCTCGCTGCTCGATCGAGAAATTGATTTAGGAAAAAATAGGATTTATAGTCGTCCACCTGGGTGTTTCTCGACCTTTCTTGCAACTCACTACTCCCTTCGCTCATTTCCAAGAAGAACCACGATTAATTTCTTATTAATTACACTTGTTGTGTTATCATTTTTCATGTTGTTTTGATTTAGGCACTGTCCAAACGATATTTTATTTTGTAACATAATCATAAACGTTTCGAAATATAATACATGATTAGAGAATCTAAAAATTTTTAAAAAGATTTTTCCTTCTGATAAAGGTTTTTCTTGAAAAATCACATTAGTGATTTTTAATTAATAATGAAAATATGCAGTAAAGAACAGATAGTCATTTTCGAGTATGAAAAACAATGAAATAATTAAGGATAGATTCTCATTTCCAAACGTGAAAAAGTTCCATTCAAGTTCGCTTAAAAAAGCTTAATAAGGATGACAAAAAGAGAACTATCGTTAGTCGTTTGCTTCGAGTTCGACAGCACCTAATCTACGTCTCGAAGTAAATCGAATGAACTCTCGAATTAAATACAGCTCTCTCTGTATTCCATGCACGACGAAAAGGGCTGCAAGAAGACGAGAAGAGAGCGAGAAAGTGGGAGTAGGTAGAGGCTGACTCCGGACGAGACGAGGCGAAGCAAGCTTCCTTGTATTTAATTACCAACTCTAAGTCTCCAACCGGGAATGAGGGAGCTCTCACCCGGACACTCCTCTTCTTCGCCACCATACTCACTCACCCTATACCCACCTTATATTCCCCCATTCCTCCTCCCATTTGCCTTCTTGTCCTCGCTTGCTTTTGTCTTATGCGACCGGCTGGAAAGATGCATTGGCTTCCTCCGACGTCTCAGCTTTTAAAATAATCAGCCATCCTACGTTCAGGATCTCGCTAACTCTATTATTTCTAGCTTCCACTCTGAAAAGTTAAAAACTCCGAACTCACTTTCCGACTAAATTTATCTGTGTCATACGGAACTGACGGAACGCAGAAAAAGCATTACGAAAACTTTTACAACAACATGGACTCATTTATATACGAATCAAGTGGTTCCCGTTGTCTCTAGAAATTATTTCATGCAGACGTCGCTAAAAATGTTGCAAAACAATTGAAAAGGCTGAGAAACTTTTGAACGGAGAAAGGAAATACATATAGATATATATATATATCTTGTTCTCTCGTGACGAGGTTAATAGGCCGAAGGACACATTAATCGCACCTTGATAATTTTTCGTTGGTAGAAAAGCTAAAGAGGAGCCTCGCTTGGCGAAGTCAAAATTAGACAGTGGCACGTCGAGTGACATCAAAGAGCTCTTGGAGGCAGCAAAGAAGGCTTCCTGCCCCTTTTCATCCCTTAAATCCTAGCCGAGCGGTATTTGCCGGGGCGACACGACCTGCCTAGCTTTCTCTCTTTAGTAAAAGTGGCAAGACGAAGAGAGAGGGAAGAAACGCGAGCCAGAGAGGCCAACGAGGAGAAAGAGAAAGAGGCGGAGGAGAAAGAGGAGAAAGAAGAGGATGGAGGGTATATAAGCATCTCTCTCTCTCTCTCTCTCTTTTGCTTTCCTACTAGGAAAAGCAGCCTCTTCAACTCGGTCCGCGGCAAGGTTCCCTCTCCAGGAGCACTAACCATCACCTACAGCCACCCACTCGCCGTATACTCCTGGTCCTGGGTTAGCGCAAATATCGCCTTTCATATTCCTTCGAAGGAGCAGAAAATCGTTACGGAGCCTTTTGCGCGCGCGCTGCGAGAAACGGCAGCCTCGTCCGATTCACGCCGGCTGCTATCGGCCCGTCTCTTACCCGCAAACGCGATTTGGTCTTGCTAGGGACTCTTGGTGGGGGTGTAAGTAAGTAAAGTTTCTCCCTCTCTCCATCTTTCTCCCTTTCTCTCTGCGACGTACGAAGCGACCTCGCTCTTTCTCTCTTTTCGCCTTTCCCTTCCTTCCTTCTTCTCCCCCAACCGCCTTCCACCCTCCCTCTTTCTTCACCGCGTATCTCTCCCCCTTTTCTCTTACTCTCTCTTCGCTTTCGATCGTTCTCCGTGGCGACTCATTCTCTCTCTTTTCATCTTCGAAATACGAAACGACGAGAAATGTGGTTTCTTCTCTCTTTCTCGCCCACGTCCCACCTTTCCTATGCTTTCCTCGAACCGCTCCTCTCCTCAACTCTCACATCCTTCCCTGCACCCTCCACCATATTCGGAGACCCTCGATGGGGTTGCAGAACCGTCGTAGCCTGCTATTAACCCACCCTCTGCTTTTCTGCTCCTCTCGCTCGTCCGCAAGAGTACCACCCCGTCTATCCCCGTTCTCCCTCTCTTTCTATCTCTCTCTCTTTTCTCTTTCCTCTTCGGCAGCTTTTCTCCTTTACTCTTTCTCTCACGAGGCACGAAGCCCACCCTTCTTCCTTCTTCCACCGCCTCCACTACAGCGACTCGTCTAAGCGCGAACAAAGATGGCGGAAAACTAAACAACTAGACGAGGGCGCAAGGAACTCTCCCTCGCTCTTTTATCGCAACGTAATTGACTCCAGCCCTGGTGGTGGGGCATCTCGTCTTTTCTGTCCCTCTCTCTCTCTCTCTCTCTCTCTCTATATATATATATATATATATATCTTTCTCTCTCTCTCTCTTTCTCTCTCTCTTTCTCTCTCTCTTTCTCCTCTATCTACCTTCTTATCCTACCTCTTCTTCTCCATTTCGTTCTCTTGTAACTTTCTTTCTTTTTCGTATTTTTTGAATACTAAATAAACTCGAAAGAAAAATGCTTAACAAAAATTAATCGACCGGGATAGTATTTTCTTATAAGAAATATGTAGATAATAATAAAATGTTAAAAAAGTAAGAAATTTAAAGAAAGTAAACTCGAAAGGAAGGAATTGTGTACACGCAGTATATCAGTATGGATATAGTGGATGAAGCGTGAGGAAGGAGAGAGATCGGCTCGGGCGAATGCTTGCTAAAGAGAAAGAGAGAGAGAGAGAGAGAGAATGGTAGAAGTGAGGTTAGAAGCGCCCAGGAAATTTCTAGAAACTTTAGGTTTAGCAATTAACGTCAGAAATTAACGACGCCCGCCTGCCTGGAGCGCAAAGCGCCAGAGAAATTAGTCTCGGAAATTCTCGTAAAATTTCTCGTTCGCTCGCGGGCGCAACTCTCTTCTCCACTCCTCTGCCCTTCTTCATCCTTCTCCTTCTCTTCGTCCTCTTTCTCGACCCCATCTCACCCCCCGCGCGTATACGGTGCACGAGATGGTAACATGGCGTTAGCAGTCGGGCCGAGCGGTAACTTTCCGGAAATTTTCATTAAGCCTGACAGTAATGACGTCATCAGTCAGTTGAGGCGACCTCATTTGAACTCGTTCCTTTTAAAACACCACCTTCCTATGCATTTTCCAAATCATAGAATTGCCGATCAACTTCCTCAATTCTTTGGAACACTTTATTTCTCGAAGGTAGGTCGAGAATAATCGAGAATGATCAGGAATGATCGAAAGGAACGTAGAGTCTGTACCATTCTCGATTAGATGATTGATATCATTTAATTACTTCCAATAACAAACTTTATATTTTTCGATTAAATTCTATTCTGTGTTCCAAAACGTTAGTGGATGACCACGAAGTTTCTGTTGCGCTTTAAGATCTTCGAGATTAATTCCTCGAGGCAATGTACCCGCGTACCTACTGGATACTCTCGATCGGCTAAACAACGAAGCAAACGATAACAGCGCAGGATTGTATTCGATCGAAGCGAAGAAGGAAAATTCATGGGCCGCACGAAGGAATCGAATATCGTTGCATTTCGAAGGAAAAGCCACATCTCCTCTACGTAGGTACTTAGATATAGACGATATTCCCTGAGGGCGAATCGAAACGACAACGAAGGTTCGAAGGTGGAACGCGAAATGCTCTCACCTCCGAACTATCGGAATGGGTTTAAATGTGTGCGTAGAAGGTGCATCATCATTGTGCACACACATTACCCTGGTGTATCGTTTCGATACATTGATATTATATATCCTTTTGTTGTTCGCTTGGGTTTAACAGGAAAGACGAATTTCTTCCTGAGGAACCAAGGCGAGACGACACGCTACGTAGTAATTATCTCCAACGATTGGTAATAAAAAAGGGAAGCTCAAGGGTTATACTCCGGAGTGTATCGTTCCGTATAGTAGGTGGGTGTTCAGATAGCGGCCGATTCAAACGAGCAAGGAAGGACTACGTTGTATAGGGTTGCTTGTGAGGTACAGGGAAGAGAGGAAGAGGAGGACTCCGTAGGTTGTAAGTGGTAGCGATACCGCCGGTAGTTCTCTCTCTTCTCTCGTTTCCTCGACCCTTTCTCTCTCTCTCTTTCTCTCTCTTTCCCTCTCTCTTTCTCTACGGACGCCTCTCTTGCTGCAGGCTTCGAGGCAATATAACTCGAAAATGGTGGCTGGCTTGCGAGTGCCGTTATCATTTCTTAGCCCGGTATCAGCCCGCCCTCCCGGTTATTACTGCACCCCCGAGGCTACGCCATGGACTCTTAGATAAGCCACCCACCGCGAAGGTGTATTGTCTGTTTCACCTACCTTCACCTCCTATACGCTTCGCTCGCTCCTCCGTACGAACGCGCAGCTACCCCTCCTTCTCTCGCTCTTATTCTCGCTCTCTTACTTTATCTCTTCCTCTCCTTATAGTCCCAGCCACTTCCGACACTCGAGATGTATAGAATTGTTTGAGAATCGCCCGAAGCGCCGCGAGATTACTTGGGAAAACGGATATGTCGTTCGGCTTGGCACTTTGAAGAAGAGAAATACTATTCGAGATGGTATGCTCTTCGATAAGTGCCAAACTCAATATACGCAAAAATTATTCTATTTTATTTTTAGGTACGTGTCTAAGGTTGCAATGCTTTGAAAGATCGACTTCAACTTAATGCGTAAAAATGTGTTACTTTCTTACATGTATTTTTAATAGTTTGACAAAATACCGTTTCCTATCATAAATGAAAAGAACGAAAAGTTTCTCTTATGTATATTTTGTAATGAATTATTAATGATAAAAATTAGCTAACAAATGTAGAAAACATGGGAACGTGATAAGCTACATATGTCTATCTTTTTTGAATCATAAAATGGCGATCTCTGAAATACGTGATACTGCGGGGTAGGAGAAGATCAAGGATGCGAGGGATGAACCTATCCTCAGGGTAAATTCGGATGGACAAAGCCGCAACGTGACCGATCTCGTCTGTGTTGAACTGCGGTTTGAACGAATGTTTTGCATTTTACTCCTGCCAGCTAATTTATGTGGGAGAAACGCCACCCTCGTTTCACACCCTCTTGCCTGACTGGTCGACCGTTTTATTTTCACTTAGACCTACCAAGGAAATTCTCAAATCCGCTTTACCGGAAACTGACTCCGTTCGAGGATCCCTTCGTACTTTTTCCTTTTTTCTCTTTCTCATTTTGCTAAAGCGGATCTCATTGTCCAAGAAGAAATACGGGTAGATAAAAGGTACTTTCTATAAAAAGACATACTTTTCTTTTCTTTACCTTTGTTATATATAATTTTAATCATCGTCAAAGTTATCTAAACAATTGATTACTATAAGTCAGGTTATTTTAATTGATAGCGATGGGATGAGAAAAACTGATCTTAATGTTTTTATTAAAAACTTACATTGTATTAAATTCTTTTTTATGAGCATATATCTATTGAATATTAAATAAAATGACTGGACTGTAAATTAACTATATCTTTTCTTTAACGATATGATTTAAAAGAGTGTCAGCTCGGTACTCGTAATAAACGTCGGATTTACAAGGATGTAAAATTAATATGAGATTCACTGGTCGCATATGAGCTCGAGGCAGAAGAGAAAGATAGGAGAAAAAGGATAGAATGAGAAAAAGAGAAAAGAAAAGAAAGAGGAAGGGAGAAAACAGAGATGAAAAGAGAAGGGGGTATATTTAGCACAAAAAGCCTCTAATTTCCAACGAGGGTGTAAAAACGGGGTTGGCACTCGGGTAGGTATACGCGGGCCGTTTGTTGGGTCTATAAAACGCCGCTTAGCTTTTTTACCTCCTACCTCTGGCCACCGAAAGGGGTGGTTTTAACCCCGTTAAGCTGTTTCCCGTCTTTTCTCGCGTTCCTTTTTTCCGCGGCTGCTAAATTGAGCGCAGTCCTCTCACCCTCCCTGCGGCCGCTTGCACGCGATTCTTCTTTTTTCTTTCTCCTCGTTCTCTTTGCTCCTGCTCATCCTCGCTTCTTCCTTTTTGCTTGGCCACTCGACCAGGCAGGACTTTTTCCTCCCAGATCCGTCCTTCCGTCCACGGAGACCGAACCGAAGCAATTACATTTTTTTTTCTTTCGCTATATATCCAGAGATATTCCACAGGTGTTACGGAGAACCTTTTGTAAAATATTAACCTACGTTAATTAGATATTTCTCGTGTGTTCGTTTTTTTTTTTCAATATTTCAAGAATCTCGTAACGTATTTATATAGACCATCTAAATTTGTATTTTTCTTTTCTTTTCTTTCGTTATATTTTCTAACATTATCTATTCTTCCATATGGACTATAATGAGGATATTATATGACGGAAATTTACAAGAAAAATTCTCGCTATTAAGGTTTCCTTAACTAATGGAGAAATATATATATAGTTTTCAAGTCGTCCTGGAACCTCTCGACATCGAACTTGTCCAGCACGAATATCACACATATACCAACTCAGAGAATTGGTGGGGGGATCAGTTCGAATCTGTCCCTAACGTAGTTTCCAGTTGAAACGCAGATCTGGTGTTGCCCTAACTCGGCCGGGAAACTCAGAAATCTAATGCCAGGAAGGACACACGGGCCGCGCCAGCTCGCCGTTAACTTTTAATGCACGGGATTAGTGCCGCGGGTGCACGCAGCTCTCTACCCAAACTTTGCGCTAATTTGTTCGTCTATTAATCCCGTACTTTCTACCCCTTCTATGGAAACCAAAAGAAGCCATACTTTGGAAAGGAAACGGGTCTGTGTCATTGGACGCATCACGGATTGCATTAAGTTTTATCGTTCAATGAAACTGTTAAATTTATAATATTTATTTATACGAAAATATTTTTAAGGCAATGCCTAATAACCTTAGGTCAAATTCTTAAAATGCAATTGTCTTATAAATATTTATTTAATCGAAATACAAACTCAACAACAATTTTTTATCAGATAAAAAAATAAATTAAACCATTAATTGCATTTCTTGAATGCATTATGTTAATGGTGTTGTATATAACCTGAGGTAAAGCTTGGTATTATGATTGAAAATAGCGAATCGGGAGAGAGAGAACAAGAAACTACCCTCGACATTAATCAACCGTCATCTTTGCCAGAAAGCAAGGCAGCCTCCATCATTTTCTCCTTCTGTTTTTCCTCTTCTCGCTTCGAGAAGTTTAATGACTGGACGCCTGGCATATCTTTGTAAATTTTCAATACACTTGTGAAATACCTTCTGTTCTTCTATAGTTAATATTTCTCAATAGTTTTACTTACGAATAAATGTTTTATTTCTGATGAAAATATATAATGTTCAATCTTATAAAAATCATTTGAATCGTTAACATTAAAAAAATTAATACTTTATTTGTAATTAATCAATTTTCAACTATAATACGCTTCCATTTTCAGAAGAGATCCGAACGAAGAGGAGTTGCAAAAGAAGGATTGCATCGAGGTTAAAATTTGCGTGCTGCTTGGAAGTAGTTTTGAAGATGACGTAAGGGGATGAAACGAAGAAATAATGATGGAAAGTTGGAGCGTTGAGAGACAGAGGAAGGTGCAGAGAAGAAGTAGAAATAGGAGTAAAAGGAGAAGGAGGAGGGGGAGTTGGGAGAAGGAGGAATTAAGGATGTCTTGAATAATGACTCGGTACGGTGGGGTGGGTGTTGAGGTGAATCGGGGGATGGGGTTTACCAGTCGGGTGCGCCATCTTGCCTCGGCTCTCTACTTATAATTATTGATGTGGCCCGAACTTTATATAAACTCGAAACTCGTCTCCCTCGCACCGTCGGTTCGCCACCATCTCAACCCCCGGTATCGGAGCTCCGGGGTGGCGGCAGAAAGAGAAGAGAGAGAAGGCAGCAGTGGCGGTGGCGGTGGCGGTGGCGGCGGCAGCCTGGAACCACCTCTACGAAAGAGCGAGTAGAAGCAACCCCCGGAGCCCCGGCCGTCCCCGTCCACCCCTCGCGGCTCTCCAACCAGGCGGCAGGAGGAAATTGTTGGAGTTTTCAAAGTCTGACGTGCAGGATATTATGAGCGAGGGTATGGCGTCGTCGAGAAGGTGGAGGAGAGAAAGAGAAAGAGAGGAAGAGGGAAAGAGAAAGTAAGAGAGAGAAAGAGAGAGAAAGAGAGAGAGAGGGAGAAAGTGCTGGAGCAGCAGCAGTAGTGGTAGTAGTAACCGAGGGTGGTCGTGAGGCGGTTTGGGGGTGGTTGGAAGGGTGGCAGAGCGCCGGGGTACTACCCAGGCAAAACTACCCGCCTCGGTTCACTCTTCTACCTCCAGCCCACCCACCAACCCATTCGTCTAGCTTAAACTATATTCCAACCTAACCTCCACGTAGGTACCTTCCCTCCTTCCACGACCCTACCTACTATCTGACAACCGGGCAATACTTGCTCGAAGGCGAAGTACTCCTTCCCCCTCTTCTATCTCCACCTCCTCCTTTACCACCCCCTTCTTTTCCACCTCTTCCGCCTCTTTTATCTCCTACAACGTTTATACCAAGTCAAGTATACATAGACGAGCATCTTCACTCGCGAATACACTATTTTCATCTTCATACATTTTTCTCTCTTCGCATCTCTAATACTCGTCTTCGTCATTGCTGTTCCTCTACTCTTGCATAACTTGTCCAAAGAGTTACGCGAGAATAATTTCACCAAAGTTCACTTTAAGATTCAAAACAATTTCAGTATAATGCAAAGATGCATCTTAACTATGATATATTTTCTCAAAACTTTTACATATATAACATCTCAATTTGTCCTATTCTTCAAAAAAGTATTTAAATATTTTGACTTTATTTCTTCATATAACGTCTCAATTTATCCTGTTCCTTAAAAGAGTATTTAAATATTTTGACGTTCGACTTTATTTCTTTTTCCCTTGACAATACGAAAGTTCGTTTATCTTTAGGAAACTACGTTAAATTGTTCGTTACTATTCCAACATCATCGTGCTTCGCACGTAGAATTATAGTAAAAAGGTCTTTCTCTTTCTTTCTCTCTCTCTCTCTCTCTCTCTCTCTCTCTCTTCGTAGTTTTTGGCGTTCTTCTCATCACAACGCGAGTCGACGTGTCTCACAAAACATAGAATATAACCAGAACACTTGCGCGAGTATATTGTAAGGGAAGGCGGTGGGTGAGTGCATATATATCTATGTAGTGTCTACAGGGGGCAGAAGTATAAGCTTTCCTCTCGCAAATGAGGTAATATATATACAAAAGCTAATACGACCGAAAGTTGCCAACTTGGATGAGTCTCTCCTCCGCCAGTAACCCCCACTATGCATCTCCTACTACACCTATTCCTCCTGTGCTCCTCCACAACCGAGGACCACCTCCACTAAATATTTTAAAGGAACGTGAGAGAATCCGTGCTGTGACTCGTTAACCACCATAAAGAAATTTCAAAACTTAAATATAGTTTACTTTTACAATTTTTAAACTTTTTCCTTCGTTTAATTCGCTGTCGAATTGAGAAATTATAACTAATGATAAGAATACGTGTACTCGTATTCTACTCAAATTTTTGAAATAATATAAAACATGCATATTTATACACATGTTGTTGTATACATGTGTTTATAAAGATATCGACAATTTTAATTTCATCAAATCTCGAAATCTTATTTATCTTCAAATGATTTAATTTTATTATGCTAAAATCTTATTTCGTTTATTTTTGCCAAAACATAATAATTAAATATAAGAAAGTTTTTTCGCCGCAACGATTCTTTTGGATTCATGCAATATAAGATATAATATACATAATCGAATCATATAAAATAAGCGTGGACAATATATCATGGAGCCGAGTTAATCTTACCTTTCGGATTTGAATCAGAGGTTTCTACAACACTGGTGGTAATTCGGCGGTAAGATCAAAGTGAATTAAATCGCGAGGGATAGAGAATGAAAGAGAGATAGAAAGATAAAAGAGAGAGAGAGAGAGAAACAGTCGTCTAACTTCATTTGCACCCCTCAGACAATTGGCTCGGTCAAAAATTTCGGCTTAAACGATGGAATCGAGTGGAATGCGAATAGCGAGCCAATTGAAATTACCTTACCAAGACATTCGAAATACTCGGTAGGTGCGGCAGCACAAGGAAGAGAAATGCTTCGCCGGGAGAAATCCACGTTTCGAAACTGCGGAGAATGGTTGTAATAAAAGCGATGGCACAGGTTGTATTTTATCAGATACGTTAACAGCTTCGTAAATCAGACCTTCAAGTCGTATCTAGCACTCACTATCGTCTGACAATTTAAGACTAAGATTTGCCATAGTGCGGCTGTTTTGAGACTAATCAAAATTTGTTTAAGTTTAACTGGTTTTTTATTTCTTAATATAATTCTTATTATAACCTTAACATAGATACCTTAATATAAGGATAGAAACCTTAACATAAGATCTTATATTATATTATTTTTAATAGAATTTTGAAATATGTTATCGATTTAATTATACTTAACATACTCGTTTGTTCGTAACAAGAACATGACAAAACTAGTAAACTTTCAAAGTAAGACCTTATTTTGTTGATACCTAAAAAAGGAACCTAAATGATGATGTCAAGGATATAAATCAATAATTAAAGGAAAGCTTCTCAAAGGAACAATCATCGCAGGATGTAGTTGCAAAATCATCTTGAGGTGTTCAGATCTAGAGGACGAATTGTCGAGAAATCTTGGAGAACTTGTGAATTTCAAGCTGATACCTCCCTTGCCTCCTCGTACAAGATCTGTTTTTTACAATCAACCAAATGGTGGTAGGTACGAAGTTAGATTAAACAAACAAGAGCAGTCGGCGTGCGCGAATCGCGAGGTAGTAGGGAACGAAATGGAGAGACGTAGAATATAATCTAGCCTGTTTGAGGAGAACTGGCACCGACTGCAAGTTAGAACAAACTCCTGGTGTACTCTGGGAACGTACCGGCAACCAATTCGCCGCCATACTTGCTCCTTTTCTCTCTCCCTTTCCCTATTTCTATATCTGTCTGTTTGTCTATCTTTCTCTCTCTCTCTTTCTCATACACACTCTTATACACACAAACATACTTTCTCTGTGCATACATGTGTGTGTACGTGTGTGTATGTGTATGTGTGTGTCCTCGACTTTCTCTCTTTCTCTTATTCTCTCTGTCTGCGTATCTCACGCAGATTCCACAATTGGGTAAAATAATTCCTAGAGTATGGTAAATAGAAACAGAGACGCCGATGGACTAGAGAATCTACTTCTATCCTTGACAATTCAATGACAAGGATTAACTTGTCTTCCTCCTTCAGAACACTTTCAGCTCGGCCCAACTTTCGATATGTTGAATGTATTTTATTCATTTCAGGATTAATCGAAGTAACTTTAAATGTTATTTCGAATTTACTACAGCCCTTATTATGTCAAATTTGATGCCAATAAAAATAAATATGATTAACATTCATGAAATAATAATAAATTAGATCTTTCAATTGTTCGCAGTCAAAGATTTTTCCCTTATTTTTTTTAATCCTCAGTCATTCTCTTTAATAAATTAAATAAACCAATATCCTGAACGAATAAATAGAAATAGAATTACGGCAAGTTATTCAAATCTATCTAAAAAGAAGAGGAGAATCTTTCAAAAAATGTAATTATCTTTTGGACGAGTAACTAGAGTTTTAATGGAGCGATAATTGATTGATAGACACTTCCTTTATTAATGTAAAATCTACTAATTGTAAGATGTTTTAATATGTTTACGATAGAAAAGAAAGGATAGTTCAAAGTCAATGAATTATTTTCAAGTGTTTGCATATATTTCTATCTGTCAATAAAAAATTCGTTAATTGAAATTTTTTTATGCGAATAAGAAATTGTTAAGAAATGTACAGATATCTACCGAATTTATTTAATTATAAAACAAACAATTATTCTATTTCCTTAAGATTATAAGAATGCAAGCATAATAAAAAAAGAAAGAATCGTCAGTTATTCTGATGAAAAAATATATATGTAAATATAGGAAAACCATATCTTAGTGATTTTTCTTCAGCAAAGATACAGATCCGAGAACGACGCTGAAACGACGAAGTCGGTGGCTCATGAATATTCATTTCTTGCTAGTTTCTTACAGGCGGTCGTCGCGATGGTGAGCATAGAAGCGGAACAGCCAGGACTGTACTTTTAAGCAGCAGAGTGGGGGTTCTGGATCAATGCCGAAGCCACGCCTCCTTCGTCTTACATCCTACCCCCATCTCCGCGGCTACCTTCCTTTCCTTTTGCTTTTCCACCCTTTTCGCTACGCGCCCATTCCCCTTGGAAAACCTCGCCCCATGTTGGATACATATATAACTATATATTTCTACTCGAAAAATGCACCCTACTACGTAACATCTTAAATAATATAAATCGTAGAAAAAGCCATGTAATTAGAAAATAAAAAAAAACAATTATATATTAAAATTATTTCCTATGAAAAATAAGAAATATTTACCGGAATATGCAAACTAATATTAGTTTAATCGAGTGACTTTAATTAAGAAAACGACTAAAGTTTTAATTGATCGGATATATGAAATTAAGAAAAAGATAAACAATGATTAACCGTGGTGATATTTGATTTTAATGATATGAAATATTCTGTAATTACATGATGCCATATAAGGGTGCATCTTTCCTTTTTGAAGGAAAGAGCAGCCTCCGGGTTCTTGGTTCCCAGAAATGAGAAGAAGACGAGAAACAAGACGAGAGAACTGTAAGTTAGAAACGACATGTCGTTGAACGATAAGATGTCAGAGAAAGATGGGATATATGTATAGGTATCTATATATGTATATATATAGAATATATAGAAAGAGAAAGAGGGGGAGACAGAGAGAGAGAGAGAGAGAGAGAGAGAGGGAAATTAAGAGAAAGAGAAAGGAGAGAAATGAGAGTCAAAACGAAACGGATGAGAAGCAACTATATATGTGTCTATGCAAAATATTTCCAACATGATGAAAGTGTATGCACATAGCTGTCTTAGGAAACGTTCTGTAATAACATCATGGGAGACTTATCGCGAATATGATGTTTTTCCTTGACAACAAGTAATAAAAAGAAACATTTCTTTCTTTCTTTCTTTGTTTAATACTCTTACTATGCGCAGCTAAAGTTACTTCCACATAAATCATTCTGTGAGACAAAGCACCAATAAAGTGGATTTGAACTAAATAATTTTGTTAAGCCTATATCACTTATTTGCATTGTATTGAAGTAATGTACATTTCATAAATAACAGACGAAGCGCAACAAATAGGCTTCAATCAAGTAATTTTCTTTAACCCATCTCTCATATTTTTTTTGTATAAAAGTTTTTGTATCGCATAAGAAATTAAAAGTATTATTTATTTTTTAATAAGCGTTACTTTCGAAACTCATTTTTTTTTTACTACGGCCAGTTTTGCCATAGCAAGAGAATTAAGAAGAATTAATTCTATTGGGTTGACTTATATGTAATGTTGGTATTTTCAGTATAACCCATGAAACAAATTAATTATTTAAATATCTATTATTTTTGATTGAAAAAATTATTGTAACTATGTTCAATAAATGAATGAATTCTTTCTTCAATGGACATTCCACAACCACTGATAATGAAATTCATTGATCAACAATCATGTTACGTCAATTGCCAATCATAAGTCGGTCAATCGGTCGGTCGGTTCTCGTTTACGTTCGACGCCTCAAGTGCCACAGGCCCTTCCTATGGAAAATCAATAGGACGGAAGAAAGGGACCGAATTCCTACTACGTCTTTGCTATCCCACGAGAATTGGCTTGAAATCGTCGTTCGGTGGAATTTCCCGCGTATAGCATCATCGAATCGCTAGGAAATCGGCAATATCTAACCTAAGTATACTATTTCCATTAAAGCAAAATGTGTTCGATTGTATAGACATAATTTATGAAATATGGACGCATTGATGACTACTCTCCAATTACAATCGTTTCAATAATAATCGATTGCATGCGTGATAGTAGAATAATTTCTCTCATTTTAATTGATGAACCGATGATTGTAACTTGGAATATTTTTTTAATTTAGATTTCAAATGACAAATTGATGATATTTTATTAAAAGATTATTTATGTTTCGTTCTTAAATTACTTTTAATTTTTAGGTTGAAATTTAATATAATTAGTATCTTAAATAAAATAAGATATCATTATGTATATTAAATAGGATTTTTCCTGCGTTATATTAATCAACCAAATGATACAGTTTCATGTCAATAGATTTATATTTTTGAATGATATGGAAAAAAGCCTTCAACTCTCATTAACACTTATCATTGTACCGTGATATTCTTTTCACTTATTTTTTTTTTCTTCTGCGAAATGACATGCTCAATAACGGAAAGAGTCGCGATTGGGAACCTGAACTATTTTTTCGTTCTGCATATAAAACTAAATTATTATACAAAAGTTTAGTGTATAAGAATAACAGAAATTTTCTAGGTATATTGAAATATTTTGTATAAACAATAAAAATAAAGATATATTAGCTGTAAAAAATTTATAACTAA